ATGCGCAGGTTAGGGTGGATTGACCATGCTAAATTGCCCACAGTGTCCAGGGATGCGCAGGTTAGGGTGGATTGACCATGCTAAATTGCCCACAGCGTCCAGGAATGCGCAGGTTAGGGTGGATTGACCATGCTAAATTGCCCACAGCGTGCAGGGATGTGCAGGTTAGGGTGGATTGACCATGCTAACTTGCCCATAGTGGCCAGGGATGGACATGCTAGTAGATTAGCTATAGGAAATGCAGGGTCTGGATAGGATGCTTCTCGGATGGTTGGTGTGGACGCGATAGGCGGAATGGCCTGCTTGCACGCTGTAGGGATTCTCTGAATTTCAGCACGCCGTTCCAATGTGTGTGTGTGTGTGTGTGTGTACTGCAGCCCCTTCCTCCTGCAGCTTACTGCACCAGACGCAGATAAACTGTGCGCCCCTCCCACTCCGCTTGTCCTGAGCTTTTCAGTCGCTGCTGCCGCTGCGTCCACCCAAACAAACATGAGCTGTAGCAACAGCACCTGAGCTGTCAGCACAACCTGCTCCCCTGCCTCATCCCAAATGTGAAATTACAGCACTGCTCGGGATATCGATGCAAAAATGGAAGTTAAGCATGACCGCCTGTCAGAGGAGCCTTACGATCAGCTGAAAGTGAAAACGGGACCGAGGGAGACGCCTCAGAACCCAGCCCGAGGGGCTTCTCCTAACTTATACAGTGCGGCAAAGAAAAAGGATTATACTGTGTCAGTCTATCTCAATAACAGGGGAAAGAGCGAGCATGTAAGCCGTGTGTTTTATCTTACCTTTCGGTGGAAAGGCTGAGGGGAGGATTGCAGGGGTAATAGGTGGGGGTGGAGGGGCTCTTGGATTGCTACATAAAATATTTGGCCAATTCAAGTGGTATTTTTTTTCGTGCACGCTTACACTGGTGTAACAAGAAAAGAGATATCTTACCGACTGTAAAGTTACAAATTCTCTATGCTTGAAATTATACCTAAATCTATTCCAGACAGCACAAAGCCGAAGTTGCTCGTGAAATTTAACTTTAAGCGGCGACCAGGCAGAGACAGCCTTTAGAGAATGAGGCGGCTTGGCCAGCGGCGCTGAGTTCCCTGGTTACAGTCAGGGCAGAGGCTTGTTCTCACGCTGTGATAGTAAAGCTCATCTTCAGTTGGAGTGAGTGGCGTGTAAAACTATCCAAGTGGTGACAAAAGTATTGATCAGTGGCACATTTAATGACTTGCTTGAATGTAAGTGTCCATTAATTGCATTAGTGAGCAGGAGGTATTAGTTCTGCTTTGCAGTCTTGGCATGCCATTCATGGGGCTGAAACTAATAGTGAAATTCAAACCTGGTAGCAATTCCAAACGGTTATGGTGAGTGAATCCCCCCATTATGTGTAACTTCACCCTTCCCTGCTCCTATTTTAGGCCCCCTAAGTCCCAAACTGTAATCTTTCCATTATGACCCACAGACCTGACTATACCTTCACCATCAGCTTTTCCTTCCTTACCATTGACGAACTGGCTCACCTGAAACTGCTGCCTCTCTCCCATTCCACATTGAGTTACTCATCCTCTCGGTCCTCTCTGATCTACGCTGGCTCCTGCTTCCCGAGCATCTCAAATTTAAAACCCTGAATACCCAGTTTGTTCCATTCAGTTAATCATCAATTTTAAATGTTCCCAGTTCTACACGACCTATCTGACCACCCAGATAGACCATGGATCTGTGTCTGTGATTTTCTCCACGTGTATAATTCCTCCAGTCTGTCATATAATAACAGAATGCCCAGACAGATGTCTCCATCAGGGAGGGTGGAAATCTCACACTTATTCATGCTAATGTCCTCTTTGCTGCTGGAGAAGGTGAAGAAACCAACAGAGAGGACACAAATAAAATGGTGATTTTGATGAATAACTTACTTCTTCAAAGACTTCAAAAAGCTTTGTAATGCACTTTACAGACAAGTGACCCAAAACTAGGTCAAAGAGATGAATTTTAAGGAGGACTTTAGGATGGAGTGGTTTCAAGTACCATGCTTAGGTGTTTGAAAGCAAGGGCAGCAAATATTGGGCAAAGGGAGGGCGTGTGCAAATGTCCCCAGGAGGGAAGAGAGATTGGATGAGTTGTAGGGTTGGAGGAGGTGACAGAGTTGGGGAGAGGCCAGACCGTAGAGAGATTTTAACAGGAAAATAAAAATTTTAACTTGGAGACATGGAGGACTGGCCGGTGTATGTCAGGGAGAACTGAGAGATGGTGGGTAACTGGGACATGACATGAAATAGAGAAGAAGCAGCAAAATTACAGATGAGCTGGTTCATTGAGAGTTGATAATGGGACTATGAGAATGCAGTTAATTCTGTAGGTGTCTGTGGAAGGGATGATGACTTTGGAAGCCGATGGGCCAAAGTAGGAGCAGAGGAGGGCGATGTTAAACAAATAGAAACAGTTGGTTTTTGTCATTAATAGGATATGTGGCTGGAACTTTAGCTTGGGTCAAACTAAACGTTGGAACTAGTAACAACCTTGTTTGGCCTAGGATACTGGTGGAGTCATTGGCAAGGATGTGGAGTTTGTGGCACCAGCTGAAACTGATAGGTTTAGTTTTCCTGTTTTTGAGCTGAAAGTATTTTTGCTGCTGCAAGACTAAATGTTGCATAAAGAGTATTACAGCGCAAAGAGATGGAGTGAGAGAGAGAGAGGTAGAATTTGGTATCATCAGTACGCAGGTGAAGATTGACCTAACATTTGTAAATGATATCACCAAGTGAGAGCATGGAAATGAAGAAGAGGAGTAAATCCTCAAGGGTGTCAGAATGATGGGAAAAGATACCAATGCTGGACACTGGCTATAATTAGGTAGTTAGGTGTTCAACCAGCAAGGTTAGTCCCACTGAGCCAGACATAGATGAGAGACATTGAATCAGATAATGTGGTTAATTGCACCAAAGGTCAGAAAGCATTTGAGAAGAAAAGGGAGGGATAATCCAATTCATTTAAATGGTCATAGGAAATGTTTTGTAACTTTGGTTTGGACAACATTAATGCAAAGGCGGGAAGTGGAAGCTGATCAGAGGGATTCAGCCAGATGATCGAGGAGAGATGGTATACATTTGGAGGGTGACTGCATGTTGAAGAGGAAGAAGAAGTTGGAGATGTTTAAGAGGCTTTGTTTATGAAGCAGTGAAGAATTGAACAGCGGCTTTGAAATGGAAGGGACAGTAACTGAGGAAAGGGAACCATTTACTGTGTTAGCTTACATATGGGTCAAGAAGGAAAGTTGGATATTCATAAGATGCTGGACCAGAAGTAGGTCATTTGGCCCATCAAGTCTGTTCTGCCATTCGATGAGATCATGACCGATCTAATAAGCCTCAACTCTGCTTTCCTGCCTTTTCCCCATAACTCTTGATTCCCTTACTGATTAAAAACCTGTCTATCTTTGCCTTGATTTTACTTAACTCGGAAAGTCAGTGGGAATGAATTTGAGGGAGCAGAAAGGAGGTTTTCTGGATAAGACGAGCTCAAGAAGGGAGATGAGAGAGAGACTAAGACGGAGGTAGGGACTGTGGGTTAGTGTTAAGGGGCAGGGCAGAGGTTTGGATTTGTGGATAAAGGGAAAAGCTGGAAGTAGCAAAGGCAGCTGAGGGGAAATATGAGCTCGATATTGATGGTGTTGCAGAAACCCATGAGTACATCCTAATTATTGTTAGATGTGGGGAAAAAGGAGGACGGGGGTTTAAGAATGTGTTTGGTAGCAGATAGATTTAATTTAAATACAGTGTTATGGTCCCATTAGAGATCAAATACTTTAAAGATAATGGATTTCCCAAATAGGTGTAAACAGCCAAAAGACCAGATTTCATGTTGTAAGTCTTGTAAAACACAAAGTAAAAACAACATAGGACAAATATTAGTTAACAGGCAACTGACATATCAAACTAAAGATTTTGCATCAACTAATTAACTCAATTGAGACATATCTTGCAACCTCTTTCATTGTGCACTGTACTTCCAGCAGAATGTCACAGTATGAGAGTAGTTTTCATTGTTATACCAATCCATTCATTTCTCCCTGCTACAACACCAGGTCAAAACTACTGGTGCCCTTCAAGAGCCTCAGTCTGAGACTTCCTGATCTCCCTTCCACCAACTGGGTCCACCTCAGTAACTCTTTGTTACTGAAATCTCTCAAAGTCCTTTGTTTTCTCTCCGCTTCCATTCAAACAGAAAACCAGGGAGTACAGGGGTCCTACTTCTCCACAGTAGCAGCTGCTTTGATCCAGCACACAGCACTAATTGCTTTCTCTCTCTATATCTCACAAAATGGCTTTACTGTAAGTTACTGTATATAGATGTGAAAACTGTCACTTAATTTAAACAGGTTTCCGTTTGAGTTTCACTCCATGGCAACCAGACACTATAGGCCTGCCACTGAGCTGGGATGCTTCAATTCCAAATTAAACCTTTTGTTAAAGGAGGCATTTTCAATCATAAACATCATGTGAAGTCCAGTGTTCCCAACAAAAGAAACAGTATTACTGCTTGAAGCTGAAATCTATAAGCTTTGTTTATTGGCAGTTTCAGGGGCTGACAAATATATCTGAATAAAGAAGTTGCTCTTTTGGAGACTTCAAACTGAACATAAACATGTCTTGTTAATTAGACATATTAATGTATTAACATTCTGGGAACATCTCATCCAATCCCAATTTATGGGATACGATTCATGACCTTTGCTATGCAGTGATGCGTATGTACCATATTTGACTTGAACACTTATTTTAGAGACCTGAGTGAAGCCTAGTTTATGCAGCAGTGCAGCCATGTTAGTACACTATAGCAGCATGGTTCTGTTACAAGTCCAGTAATCCAAAGGTTAATGATTTGGACATGAGTTCAAGTCACCTCATGACAGTTGGGGAATTTAAATTCAGTCAACTAAATTAAAAGAAAGCTGTGCTTAATGGTGATGGTAAAACTACCAAATTTTTGTGAAAACAGAATTAGTTCACTTTAGGTCATTTAGGATTTAACATCAGACCCACAGCAACATGATTGAATCTTTTCTGCCCTCTGAAATATCCTAGCAAGCCATTCACTTATGTCAAATTGTTACAAATAAAAGAAAATGGATTACCCAGGATCAACCCCAAACACCAGACTTGACTCAGCCCCATCAAACCCTGTTGAGTCCTCCACACTAATACCCCTGGATTTTTGCCAACCCTGGGAGAGAGATCCTACAGACTAGGCAAACAGCAGTCGATATACTTCTTGGACTCCTTCGTCACTGTCTCTTGTATCTGGTGGGACAGGACAGACCTGCTGGGGTACAGGGATAGAGGCAGCGAGTCTTGGAGCAGTGAGGGCTGTGAGTCCCAGGTAGAGACTTGCGCAGGGGATGCAATCCTGGAACTTACCTTGGAGCAGTTGAATGCTGGTGCAGAGCGGGAATAGCAGCTGGAATGGGGTCTGGCGCGGGCAGTCAGACCATGTGCAGAAGCCCTGCGCTGATCTGCTACAATGCAATGTTTATTCAAAATTTTTTGCCTGACTGCAATGTCAATCCTTTAACGTTGTCTGATTTCCAACTTATTTTTTAAACTCTGTAAAGTAATGCAACTACTTTTTATTCCTCTTTTGTATCCAAGATTTGTACTTAGGTACTTGTACATAAGATAGCACCATAAGCAGCCACTGTAAAAGATTTTCACTGTACTTCTACAATGGAGTACACGTGACAATAAAGAATAATCAGTTCTATTCTATTTTGT